ATAATAAAACATTTAAAAATATATATTAAAAAATAAAATAAAGCATAAGCAGCCACTGTAGCAGACTGAGGAAATGATGATTTTTTGGATAGGGATGTTGAGGATGGAATCACATAGGATACTCGGTGACATATAAAGGTTTTTAAGTGTTGAAGAACAGTATGATATTCTTAGGGACTGTTTGAACACAGACATGAAGTTTAAATATGAACACATGTTCAAAAATGATGAAAATAAAATAATGAGTGTTAAGGAGTATTTGAGAGGATGAGGGTCTGAGGTTGGTTTGGTGTTAGATTATATGTCAGATTGATAAGATTTTTGTTTTCGTTGGTGGTTTTTGATGTCATTATTTACTTTTAAAATCCATAAACAAACATATAACCTATGATCCCATACTTCTTTTGAATTATATAAAATAAAAGTAAGTTTCTTTCCATTGCCAGGTATTTTCTGTCATGCTTAGCTGTGCTTTAGGCAATAATATATTCTTCATAATACTGTAAACTCTTCACCAATTACTAGAAGTATTCCTTTTATCTTTTAATTCTCGGCTTTTAAAAATAACACATGCAATCGAGATATTTGTAAATATAAGGGACAAAAGAAAAATATAGAGTGCCAAGAATAAAACTTCTAATGTGAATTATACATAAGAGGCTTATAATTTGGTGAGAGTGATATAGAAAGCCTGTAATCTCAGCACTTTGGGAGGCTGAGGTGGGTAGATCACAAGGTCAGGAGTTCAAGACCAGCCTGGCCAAGATGGTGAAACACCATCTCTACTATTGTATAGGTTAAAGATGATGCCTGTGTAGGAGAATAATAAAATAGAACGGCAATAGAACTCTGGGACTAAAACACAGAGTTCTATTCAGGACATTGACAAATGGTAACTATTTAGAGCATCACAATTTATAAGAGTAAATGAATAAGAAACCAAGAAAAATATTTTCTAAGTATTATTTATGAGACCCCAGGTATCTAAACAGCTCACTCCTTAACTTTTACTGAGGACCCTGTTCAAATATCTCTTAAAGAAGCTTTGCTGGACTATTCTATTAAAATAGCAGAATATAAGTTTAGAATGGAATGGAATTCTAGAAAAGAGAGAAAAAAAGGTCAAAATCTAGAGAAATCAACAGTTAATATATTTGAAATACTCTTACTGTCACCGTAAGTGGATAAGTGTATGTTCTGCTTTAATCATAATCACTTAAAAGATTAGATATCTTAATATGGGCTATAGAATTAGACACATTAATAATCACTTGAGATCACTATCTATGCCAGAATAAATTAGTACAGCAACCTTTTGAGGGAAAAAGGCAGTAAAATACAATTTGAAATAATCAGTGGTGTTATAGAGCTCTCTTTGCGTAGATCATTGATGACTAGTTCTTCCAATTTGAATTAAATGAATCCATTGGATTCTTATTTATTCTTAACTGAATGCACACTTTAAAGAGATACCCAAAGTGATTAATTAAATAATTTAAAATCACCTTTGTATTATATAGTGGCATGAGACAGGAAATTAGGTGACAATTCATGGGAATATTTTGTATATCTTGGCAAATAACAATATAGCACCATTCCAGCAAATATGAAGAATGAATAAGTAGTTACATTTTACAGTAGGAGAAACTAAAGTGCATAGAGATTAATGGTTTACTGAAGACCATCTATATTGCTATGGATATTAGTTGGAATAAAATAATACTTTTTGTCTTAGTTCTATAGACAAGTTATATTTTTTGCAAGAACGTATATGTAATTTTTGTCAGTGAAGTCGTTGCTATTTTCTGCATTTAAGCCATAAGACAGATACAAATATGTACATGTAAATAATTGTAACAGAGAAAATGAGCATTTTGATAAAATATTTTATTAATAATAATATATAATCATGGTTATAAAAATAACAACTTTATTAACTACAGAAAGTTTATAATACAAGTCATAACCACAGTGTTCCCTTTTTTGGGTAAGCATACAGCTATACCACTCAATAGGCAGCTTATTAATTTCCTATTTACATAGAAGACAAACAGTCATAACATCCACAGTATTTCATTTTCAGTTTCCTAAAGACAGAAACTTTCTGTGCAAATGGAAATGAGCCTACTTAAAAGTTACACTGTCAAGATATATATGGTCCAAAACATTTTAACTTTTTTTGTATTAGTAAATTCTTAGCTCCAAACTTAGTTGAATATTGAAAGATAACTTCTTTTTGGACTTTATCATGACAAATGATTTATTTTAGAATTATGTATTTTAAAAACAAACACTATGTACTTTTACCAAAATTAATTTTATTTTTTAAATGAGTTTGCCTACATATATGGGATATAATTGATTATAATAGTATGTTTTGAACCTCAGTAAATCGATTTAAGGCTTTTTAGTATAAGAGCTTATTAAAATTCTTTACCTCATGATCTCTATCTTGCAAAACCAGTATTTCTTTTTTAAAAAGTTTAAAAACAACAACGAAATGCCTGACAGCAATTTCCCACTTCTTGACAGTGTTCTTTTCAAGAGAATGTTGTGGCTATAACATTCACTTTGTACAGTACCATTGGTACCAACAAGAAATATTCACAGGAATAAGTGAAATACAATTTTGCTATCACATGCCATTATTGTTAATTTTCTTGCCTTCCAGTGTCTCACACTTCCCATAATTTGAAACACTTAGATAGCAAGCAAAAGCCTGTTAATACTAGAAATTGACTCAATAGATTTTACTGAGGACCTGCCCACAGCATATAGGTAAAAGTCATTACACATTTTACAATAAAATTAAAGAAGTATACAAAAGGATTATCATTCCTTCCGCACGGCAGAGGCATTATGAAAAATATTTTAGTTTTACACTTCAATTCCTGGTAGACATGAGAAAATGTCTACAATTATAACAGTACATAACCATTATTCAAACAGCCAAACCAAAAATCACATTGAAACCTCTGACTTAAAAGATCCTTTTGTCAATGACACAAAATAAAGTGGATAATTGGATTTTTAAAAATGTTTGATAATTTATTCAGCAAAGAACACGTGGTAAATAGTATCTTCCGCCCGCAAATAATGACATGACTCTACCCTGTTCTACTACCTAAAATAACACGGACCTTGTTCATCTAACTTTCATTGTCAATTCCACCCATGTCCCTCTATCACAAAAGGAGCCTCCCAAAGACAGAATTATTTTGTACAGTTTGTTTGATGATTTATTGGTGGTATTGTTTTTAGCCTTTAATAAAATGAAAAATACTGGGCTCAAAATGTCTAAATACTTAGCTGCATCTTGTATCTAGCTAATCTTTATCTGTATTTCCAGGAAATTTAGAGGAAGAGTCATAAAAGAAGTATTTTTAAAATGTGAGTATTTAAAAGTATGACAATTTTTATAAAAGTTTTAAAAATATCATTAATATGCAACAATAAAATTTCACTGGTTCAGCCAGAAGAAACTATGAAATATACTTTATACTTTGGCAATATACTCTTGAAATTTCTAGGTGTTCTTATGAAAATGGTGTATTATATAAGGAAAAGAGAAATACAATCAGATAAGATGATGGAGACTAGCAACTAGTTGGATGTCTTTTTGCTTCCACTTTAAGTTCCTTGATACCAGCACATATCTTATTATGAAAAAACATTTTGTATAAGCATTTCTGGACTTGCCACCAGAAGTCCAGTTAGTTCTGTGGACTAAACTCTCCATAAACTTAAAACCATTTTAGTCCAGATTAAACGGTATTCTAAAGAGATGTTAGGAAATCATTTGGGGACTTAGCCTTGATAAAAATCACTCAAGAAAACTAAATCAGAGAAATGGGAATACTACATTCACACCACTCAAAAAATTATTTTTAAAGATGTTTTGTACAGGAAGATTTTTTGCAAAAATTCAAAGCCTATCCTATTACTTTTTGTTATTCTATTTCTCAACAATACATGATTTTTAGCTAAACATGACAAATACAATGATAAATATGATCATTTGGCTGTTATACAGAACACAAAATTTAAATGTCTATTACATATGGCATTGGGAGTGATCTTTGTAAAATGAAATAAGAAAAAATAAAGATATCTTGATAAAATATCTGATTCAACAGATTCCACTGTACTTCAAAAAAAAAAAATGAATACAGAGTTTAGACAAACTAGTTTCTTTCCTTTTACAAGTTTTCTTTTACTTCAAAAAAACTTTATTAGGCTAAAATCTTCCAGGTTGAGAAAAGTGTTTTTATTTTTTTCTCTAATATATACTTTAATGCATGACTTGATGAAGGGTATTTATAAAACTTTGGAGACATGAAAATTTTCCTCTTAAATTTTTTAAAATTTAAAGGCAGTGAGCTAGAAGTCAATCACAGCAGCAAGTCTTAGAATTAACCTGTTTAAATACGTTTTTAATGATCAAAGCAGTTTTAATCTTCTTCAATTAGACTCTGATCTGAGCACTGAAGAAATGCTTTAGGAAAGTAGACATACAAATATCTTGTGTAAATAAGTGGCCTTAAGTTTGGAGGAAACAAATTACACAAATAGAATTATTACCCTCTTTCCTTTAAGAATTAGAAACTACATGAAACAAACTAGGATATTGAATACATGTAAACACCTAGATTAGGTGTTATTTAACCCAGGGTGATGGCCACACGTAAAATGTCAACCAGAGAAGATCATCTGCAGATTACATATGGAGAATTAGCCACTCATTTTGATTTTGCATCATTTTTTAATATTTCTACTGGTCTTTAGAGATTTCTATTTTTTTGAGGTAAAACTATAGGTACATACTTCTAAAATATTTAGAGGTTACATTAGGTACATCATAATTTAAACTGTAGTGCATGTACATGTGTACCTAGGCATGTGTACATGGGTATGTGGTTTTGTAAAAAGTGTGTTCGTGTACCAGTATTGCAGGATACATGGTGAAGAGAAATGAATGAACTATAACATACAGCATATGAAATGTAATATAATTTAATATAGGCCTACAATTTAAGGACACAAGGTATAAATTGTTTTGGTGAGGTTAAAATAACATTTAATTTATGGTTTACTCATTATTAAGAAACCAACCTCAGAAAGCAGCTTAGAGAGATTAATTGATTTTTTCCCCACGAAATCTTTATCCAGCAATTATACCTGTGTGTTTTTTTAATCCATTCAAGTATCTTCAGGAGATATGTTACTACACTTGCATGTACCTTAATTCACTTCAACATTGACAAAATAACACTGACAAACAAAACAACAGAAAACACCCATAAACATTAATGAGAATTTTAACAAACATGACTCTCCAGTAGTTGTCTTAGGATTGTTGTGATATTTTTAATTCCACATTCTCTGAAATCTTCATGTAAAAGACAGTTGTATTGGTGGGTGCTTCAGACACACTTACTTCAGCTATGACTGTGGTACCTTATATGTTAAAATAATTTTGTGTATCCATTTTGCATAATATGCTACTCGGACAAAAATACCAGGACGATTTGGAATGGCGCATCCACGGCCGGGAACAATGACACCAAGAACCATTCTCATTTTATGTTGCTCACAAACAAGTGGGCCACCATAATCCCCCTAGGAGTAAAACATACAAAAACAAAGTATTATTAGGAATTTAAAAAATAGTTCATTAACATTATCGTATATAGATTTGCATCTCAGAGATATATACAGAAAAAGAGAATAACTGCAACTGAAATATGAAGATATAAAAATTAGTGTACTAGACCATTTGTTGACTTTCTACTAAATTAGCCAAGACCGAGATAATACCAAGTTTAAAGTGTTCTATTATGTGTAGTATTCTCCTAAAATGACTTGCCTTTTCCAAAATAGTCAATCATATTTTAAGTGTGCTCTGCCTTTGTTGGATGCAGACTAACATATAACCATTGGTACCTATTTAATAAGGTAGATTTTATATTTATTTTAATCTTCTTATATTCAGTATAGAAAATTTGGAACATGTGCAAAAATACAAGTAAAAAAGAAAATAACTTGTAATCATTTAACTTTAATAATTAAACTGCATTATATTTTAACTTATTTCTAAACCTTTTTTTTATTTGCCTCACCCAATCCTGCCCCAGATGATTTTAACAAGTTAAATAAAAAACTTGTAGTCAATAAAATAATTCTGTTAATTGAAATTGCTTTTCCAAGCAAGGAGTATTCCTCCACTTACTGCTGGTATTAGTAGTTAACATAGTTATATTTATATTTTATACCCTCCTTTCTATAGGATGTCCTGTGATTTCATGGCATTTCTTATA